GCGCGATGGCACGCCGGCATGTTGGCATGGGAACGCCAAGCCCGGCACGGTAGCGGCGGCTGACTGAGTAATGGCACAGCCGACCGCCGCGGCAGGCCACTTTGCACTCCTGCCTGCAATGCATGCACCCTTACATGTGCAGCCTTCTGGTATTTTCATGTGCCTGGGAGATGTGCGGGCATGGGGGCCCATGTGCCCCATGCCATTTGAGTGCCCGGCGGCGGCGCTGCCTGCCGCCGGGAGCCCGCACCAGCATCGGCACCCGTCGGCCTGGCAGGCCTAAGCTGCTAAGGATCCCCACGTCCCCCACCACGTTGTGGGGGTTGCGTGTCCGGCAGGACGGGGAGCGGGGCCAGGGTGGGGTGACCCTGGGACGCTCAGCTGGGGGGAGGGTGGTCGGAGCCATGGAGAGGGTGCTCCATGGTCCACCCCCTCTCTTGATGCCCCTTGATCACGTGTGCCCCCTGCCCAAGGTCTGCTCACGCGGCCTATCATAGCGGGGTGACTGTAACACAGGGTAACACAGGGCTGGATGGCAGCGATGAAATGCTGCCGGCGCCACCCTGCGGGCACCAGCTTCACGTCCCGCCTCCGCTGCCCGCTGGTCCCCTCTGTTGAACGCCTGTTGCCGCAACAATGCAGGCCCCTTCTCAAAGGCTTGGTACACTTGACGAGGCGACGGACCTGGCTGAGAAGCAGGAGCAGCAGCAGCAGCACCGGCAGCAGGCACGCACTGCCGCAAAAGGCCGGCGCTGGGGGGCAGCCAACCCTGGCCAGCTCAAGGGAGCGGTGCCAGAGGCGATCAAGCAGCGGTGCGCATTGACGCTGGGCACCTGGTGTGTGGACTACCTCACCCAGAAGGGCGTGCCGGCGGTAACGGCGCCGCGTGGCAGCAAGACCTGCAGCATGAACTGTAACAAGGCGAGTGGCATCTCTGTTGCAAGGGAATCCAGGTCAGGTGTGCAGGTGCATCGTTGGCAACGTCCTGCATTCACCTGCTCCATCTTTCTGCAGGTAGGAACGTGCAGTGCCCTCACCGGCCTCTGCGCCTGCCCAGCAGGCAAGCGCCAGCCACACAACATCGCTGTTCTTGGGCACACTGCTCCCATCGCTGCTGTTCGGCGAGTGGGTGATTCGTCGCAGAGGAGGCAGGCACATGCATGCTGCTCAGCTGGCTCAGCCAGCGCTGCACAACGCTGTCGCTGCCGCACCTGTCCCCTGCAGGCTGGCGTGGCTTCAACTGCATCCACCCGGCGAAGCGCTTCTGCACGCACACATACCGGCAGTGGGGGTTTGAGCCGCAGCGCATGCCTCCCAACCTGCCCAACACGGGAGCAGATCCCAACTCCATGCCCTACTCCCGATGTGCAGCGGGTGGGCTGGGCTGGGCTTCGCACTGCTTTTTTGTTTGGCTTACTGCATGTCTAGTTCGACGTGCTGGCACTGCTGCCGGCCATGACTCTTGATTGTGCCTCGGCTTCCTAGCTGGTTTGCTGCGGCAGCGCCATGCCCACCGAGCCTTGGTCGGCCGTGCCGCAGGGTACTGCGACGAGACTGTGGCCGCGTGCTACTGCCCCTCCAACACCACCTACGGTCGGGTACCTGCTCCGGAGGATGCGCCCATGGACGCCCCGCCGCAGCGGCACGGCCGGCCGCTGCATGCGGATTGCCAGCCGAACAACTTTCTGGGAGGCACTCGTGAGCCGGATGAAATCTTCGGGCCCGAGGGGTGGTGCATGTCTGCACAGCCCAAGATCCAGTGCGGCTGCAATGCGCCTGGTGAGCGGTGGTGGTGCACGCCGACAGCTGCCGCCCCGCTGCTGCGCAGTGGTTGCCCCTCTGGGCTGCAGTGACTTGCCAAGGTCCTCAGCCTGTGTTGGTGCGCAGCCACAATTATGCTCATTAGATGCTTCTGAGCTGCAGGCTTTGGTGGAATGAACTGCGAGGAGCCGTTTGAGGAGGTGTGTGCATCGGATGCGCTGGGGCCAAGGTGCCTCGTGTCCTCAACGCAGCTAATGTGCCAGCCGCTCTGGTTGCCAGTAGGCAGTCGCTGCCTGCATTCATTCACGGCAGCTCCGATTCTGCTCCGCAGTTCTGCCCCAACTCATGCAATGGCCGGGGCGAGTGCCAGGCAGGGTTCTGTAGGTGCCACCGGGGTAGGTAACCTGGGTTTGCCGCTCTGCTTGGCGTCTGCGAGGCGGGCCGGGAAGCAGCAAGGACATCAATCTACCATGCAACCTCCCAATGTCGTTTGCATGTGCAGGCTGGCATGGCATCGACTGCGCTCACCGGGCTGCCAATGCAGATGACCAGGCACCAGGTGCATGCCAGTGTGACTACCACCAAACGCAGGGCTGAATGCATGCTGCCTGCTGGCATAAGCTAGCCACGCCGGCATCCATTGCCGAAGCCCTTTCCCGTCGCGGTCTTGTGGCTGCTGTGGGTGCAGGGTTGGAGCAGGAGCGGCCGTGGCTTGCTGATCACATCCACACACCCGCGGCACAAGACTTTGCTCCAAACGCCACGCGCAAGCGGCCGCTCATTTATGTGTGAGCAGGGGGCCACCACCTCCTGGCCTGCGCCTGCCAGCTGCGGGTGTGAGAGACCTACAGGAAAGGGCTGCCGCAGCGCTGATCTCAGGCATGCTGGCTGTGCCGCTGCCTGCGCAGGTACGAGCTCCCGGCACACTTCCACTCCCTGATGCTGCAGTACCGCCGAGTGAACGGAGGCATCGACTACTGCACACCTCGCTTCTTTGATGTAGTGTTTTTTTCATTCATTCATTCATTCATTCATTCATTCAGCACACAGACCGGCCGCCTCTTGCTCGAGGGCGGCCCACTTTGGCCTGGGCAGCCCGGGCCGCCCTCCCCCCCGGGCGCATGTTCGGTGTTGGAGGGGTGTGCCCAGCGATAGGGGGCCCCTGAAGGCATGCGCCGAGGCCGGGAAGCGTGGTTCGGCGCTGCTGCACGCTTGGCGATTTGAACAGAACCACGTGCCGCCGAGCTGCGGCCGCAGTTTCCGGCCCACGGTCTACGGTCGCAGCCACGGGACTCGGCGGCACGGCGTTTGGGCCCAAGCTTGCTGCCGCCGCCGCCGTGCCCGGGGGGGCAGCGCGGCAGCGGCGGCGGCACGCTGCGACGCCCCCGTGCTGCCGAGCTGCGGCCGTAGGTTCCTGCCAGAAGCCCACGGCCACAGCCACGGGACTCGGCGGCACGGCGTTTCGGTCCACGGCTTGCTGCCGCCGCCGTCGCAGGGGTGCTGCCTGCGGCGGCGGCGGCACGGCGTTTGGGTCCACGGCTTGCTACCGCTGCCGCCGCCGCAGGGGTGCTGCCTGCGGCGGCGGCGGTAGCGCACGCGTGGCAACCCCCCGCGCTTCCTTGCCTCCCATCCACCGGACCCCGTCCTGCGCTTCACTTTGTTTCGGGAGGGGCTGCTCACTGCTCATTGCTCATTGCTCATCGCACACTGCTCAACGCTCATTGCCCTATATCCCACCCAGCCGCAGGACTCCACTGCCGCCCGCGCCCCGCCCCATCTGGCCGCTTGCGCGCCCCATCCCCCCTCGATGGGGCCCACCCACACCGGGGCCTCCCCCCTCCCGCCCACTGCTTTCTCAACGGCCCCGAGCCGGGGCTGCCCTCATTGCATACATAGTGCGCCTTTCCCTGCTTTTCTAGTGACCTAGCGTTCCGCACTGCCGTTTGGCCAGCCCATGCTCCCGTACCGTTGCGTTTCTCCCCAATGCGCCATGCCACTTTGCCAGTCATACACACGTTTCGATGCGTGCCCTGTCAGCTGCTTGCGTTGCATGTCGCCTTGCTCCACCCCTGTTTTATTGCTTTCTCTGCTTTCGCCCGGTTCCCGTCCCGTTTCGGCGGGGAGTCTATGTTGCAAGCTAGTTCTTGCTTTACCAGACTTTAAGCCCACACAAGTGTAGTCAACAACACCATTTTCTCAGGTGCGCTTCATGAACTGGTGCGCTGCCCTGCATTTTGTCCAGCCGTCCTGCTGCCCCTTGCGTAGGCTCTGTCACGGTGGGCACCCAGGCATGCCAGAGTGTCCAGATCGTGCTGCTGTGCCGCAGTGTGGTCACACGGTCGTCCTCTTCCTCCTTCCCTGCCGCTGCAGACTGGACATACGCTTTCGAGCCTGGGTTCCTGGAAATGCTGATGCAGAGCGAGCACCGCACGCTGGACGCCGAGGAGGCGGGTGGGCAGGGACAAGTGGGCAGGGAATGTTTGGGACTGCTTCACCTCGGAACGACTCCAGGAGGCTCATCACCCGCGTCGCCCTGCCTGCGTGTCTGCCTGCAGACTTCTTCTACGTGCCTGTCTTCACCAGCTGCTTCATCTGGCCCGTGCGGGACGGCGCCGACAGCCTGTACGACTTCTTTTATTCTGTCGGGCACAATCGGGTGCAGGGCGCCACCAACATGCTGCTGGAGGCCTTTCACTGGATACAGTCGCACCAGCCCTGGTGGTGAGCAGAGCAGCCTCTGAGCAGCTGACTGTCTGTGCAGTGTGCTGCTTGCACATGGTCATCGTGCTTCAGCTGCACAGGTGCTGCAGAAGGTACGGCTTCAGCCTGCCTGCCCCTCTGCAGGGAGCGGCGTGGCGGTCGGGACCACATCTGGCTGGTCACGCACGACGAGGGCAGCTGCTGGGTGCCCGCCGCCATCCGCCCCAGCATCATCTTGAGCCACTGGGGACGCACAGACCTGAACCACTCCAGCCTCTCTGGCTACCATTACATGGACAGCTACAGGTGTGGTGTAGGGAGACCGCTTGTAGACACTCGCAAGCCGACAGTCTGGCTCCGCTGCTGTTTCGTGTCCTGCATCATACTGACCCTGCCTGCTGTGCTACGTTTGTCCCTCACCGCAGCTTGGACAACCATCATGCGCAGGTGAGCTGGCGGTCCGCGCTTCAACATCATTTGCTCCCAGGCTGCGGACAGAGCGGCTGGCCTGGCGCTCGTCCTGCAGACTGAGCCGCTGCAGGGTGGCTGCTATGCTGGCTGTGTCCGACCATTTCAGCTGTTCCTTGCATGTCTGCATCCTGTGATGCTGCTTGCATCAACCAGGCATCACATGTGCATTGCAGTTTGAGCCGGAGGGTTACCTTCAGAAGCTGGGGACATTCCCATGCTTCGACCCAACTAAGGTGAGCGAGCGACCGCCACCAAGGGCGCCATGCACTTGTGCCTCTCTTTCCCCTCCCCAGAGCTGCTGTCTGTTGTTGCGCCGCGCTTGGCGTGGACTAACAGGCGGCAATGCCACCTGCCCCACATTGAAGCAACGAATCGCTGCCCAACCAACCACGGCGGCTCCATGCAGGACCTGGTTGTCCCCCCTCTGAAGAAGCCTGATCACTGGCGCAACTCTCCACTGCTGGGCGCACCCACCCGCGAGCGCATCTGGCTGGCCTTCCACAGGGGCCGGGTGAGCACCCAGTCGGTCGGAGATTTATAGTGCACGCCTGCAACAACGCCAGCTTCTGGCAGGTTGCCCTGCTTTGCGCAGCGCAGCTTGTGGGAGGCCTGCTGCTGAAGCAGGGCCAGGACGTTCACCATGCTGCCTGGCCCGGTTTGAGCCTGCAGGTGCAGCACCATCTGCCGCGCTTCTCACGCGGCAGCCGGCAGCGCGTGGACAACGTGTCAAGGGAGCACAACTGGCTGGATAAGTACAAAATGGCGGTGGCAGGGTGAGCTGCCAAAGATGCAGGCAGGCAGGCTGGCGTGGCAGTGCGGCGACGCTGTCGCTGGTGCAAGCCCTTGAGGAGCCCGCTAAGCCTGGAGCTAATGCTGACGGGCTTAGCCTGCCTGCCCGCCCGCCTGCAGTTCTGACAATGGGGTGGAGGGATCCACTGTCCAGGGCGACTACTCAGAGCTGCTGGCCTCCTCCATCTTCTGCCTGGTGCTGCAAGGCGACGGCTGGACAGCGCGCATGGAGGATGCCGTGCTTCATGGGTGGGTGGGGCCCGCTGGCCATCTTTTGTGCGTGACCACCGTTGTGTGCTGTCTGCTCCACCTGTCTGCTTTTGCCGCGGCCTCGCAATGACTGCCCTCTATTTCGGCTTTCAAAAGTGCTCCAGCCCTGCAACATCGCTGATGGCAGCGTCTGTGGTGGCCCCTCCTCGCTTTGTTGCGCCCCTGCAGATGCATCCCTGTAATCATCATCGATGATGTGCAAGTCTCCTTTGAGTCCATTATTGATGTCAGCGCCTTCTCTCTCCGAGTGCCCATGGCAGACATCGAGCGGCTGCCCGAGATACTGCAGGCGGTGAGCCAGGAGCGGCGGGAGGAGCTGCAGCGCAACCTGGCGCGCGTGTGGCAGCGCTACTCCTACTCCAGCTGGCGCCCCTACGCCAAGCGCATCCGGCAGCTGCAGCAGGAACGTGCCAATGCGAGCAGGACAGATGGCGCGTTCAGCAACAGCAGCAACAGCAGCAACAGCAGCAAGCCGCTTTCACTGCCAGACGCGGCGGTGCAGATAGATTTGGAGGCAGATGACGCCTTCCACACAACCATGAGCTGGCTGTACACCCGAATAGATGCAGCCCGATAGCACCAGCCCTGCTGCCTGAATAAGGGGCGTCTCTTGCAGAAATTTCAGTTTGAGAGGAAAGGAAAGCAAATGAAATAGTGGCGCAGGCGGTGCGAGGGTGCCCACGCTGTCCTGACAAGCTTACGCCGCCGGCTGCGCATCCCCGGCGGCAATCCTGGCGGCCTCCGGGTCCCGCAGGAAGGCGCAGGGGTGCTGCGGCAGGCGTGTGAACTCGTTGTTGCCGTCGGCGGTGCTGACTTTGTCGCACCACTCTGGCACCTCCAGGACGGGCGGCTCCCAGGGCTTCCACTCCTCGCCTGCACACGAACAGGGTGGGCGGGGCAGCGGGACGCAAGTGCCTCATGATCGCTGCAGCAGCATGCAGTTGGCACGGCCCTGCCTCAGCAGACCTGCCATGGACTGGAGACAATCACACAACATGCACGCAGCAGGGCAGCCACGCACCGTCCACAGCGTATGGCGGCGGTGCGGCATACTGCAACTGGCGGTACTCCTCGTCGTGCTCCCCCCACGTGAAGCAGCACCAAAACGCCTCTGCCAGCACACTTTCAAAGAGCTTGTCAAAGGCCGCGGCGTCCCCATCTTGAAGGAAGTCCAGCACCAAGCCAGGCAGCTGGCCCCTGCAAGCAGAATTGCACACCACGGGGCGGAGCATCTGGCACCGCGAGCCACCAAGCCAGCAGCCAAGTTGTGGGGCAGCGCGGCACAGGCGGGTGATGCGGCGGCGATTCCAAGCAGCCCAGGGCAGCCTGCCTGCTGAGTGCCCCGCCAGCACCAGCACCACACACCTGAGCTCCAGAACTGCTGCTTGGCTCACGGTGCTTGCAAGCTCGTCTAGGGCAAACTGAGGCATGGAGGTCCACAGAGTGACGCCGTGGCCCACCATGCTGACAGCCTCGGGCAGGGGGTCTCCCGGCTGGCTGGGAACTATGTTCAGCACCGCCCGACTGTTGCGTATGGAGGCTGGAACCTGAAGGGGCGGGGAGCAAGAGCAAACGGGTGGGACAATGGCGCCGTCCAGTCAGCGCAGGCTGCTCTACACGCAGGGTGCGGCAGGCCAGGCAGGCGCGCGCTGGGCCCCGCGCAGCACAGAAGGCTCTGCCGCTGTTGCGCCGCAGCAGCACCAGCAGGCTGCGGCACCTGGGGCAGGTCTAGGAAGCCAGGGGGACGGTAGCTGATGTTAAGGTTGTCCAGCACCTCGATGGGCAGCAGGAAGTCAAGCGGGCACTGGAAGGGCGACCGGTAGTCGCCAGCGCTGCATCGGCAGCACCGCACGGCATGCGCGCAGTGGCTGAGCGGGCCCGGGCATGGCGGCATCGCAGGGGGCTAGGTGGCAATAGCAGCAGCCGCAGTTGTATGGGATGTCGGGCGCCCCAGGATGCCTCCGGCCAAACCGTGCGCCATCCCAGCCCAAGGCAGCTCACTTGATGAGGCACGTCTCCAGGATGCCGCTGTTTGGCACCTCGTCGTAGTCGCACCAGCACCACAGCGTGGGAGGCACCAGCGTGCACCGCAGCAACCGCGCCACCACCAGCGCTTCCCTGCAGGATGCGCAGTCATGGGCTGCCCTGAGCTGCTTCTGTTCCCTGCTACCAGCACCGGCAGCAGCAGCAGCAGATGCACGCACTCCTGCTCGCCAGCAGCATTGAGCTGCTTCGCGGCTGACGCCGGCTGCACGACGGCCCACCTGAACGCCGCCAGCTGGTAGCTCATGCCCAGCCAGTGCTTGTAGAACAGCGGCATGCGGCCGCCCTCGTAGCGCTGCCGCGCCATGCGCTCCACAAACTCCTCCACATCGTTCTGGTAGGTGAGCAGCCACAGGCGGTCGTCCCCTCCTTCCGCCAGGTAGGCCGTGCTGGTGTTGTGGGGCCCGGCGCCGTAGTAGGCGGGAGGGTCCATGCGCCACAGCCCAAACTCGCGCAGGCGCGCCACCTTGCCCGCCCGCGCCCAGCGCTGCCACGTCATGTGGATGGCGATGGGCTCAACGCCCAGCCTGCAGCCCAGCCAGAAAGCAGCAGCTTCAGAGTGAGTGATTGGGCATGGTAAAACACCAGCAGCCTTGGGGCCATGGCAGGCAGGAATGGCAGGCAGGCAGGCGGTCAGCCACAGCACCAGCGGGCAGACAGACAGCTCACTTCCAGGGTGTGCGCTGCACAAAGGCGACGTGGCCACCCGAGAACAGCACCACCGGCAGCGTCTGCACCCGCAGTGAGCCGTTGTAAACCAGGATCGTGCGGGGCTCATCTGCAGGGAGATGCAGAGTGGCACGCCAGCATTGGTTTTCCTGGCGTGATGCCAGCGGCACCATGCTGCTTGCTGGGCAGCCACTTGCCTGCCCGTGTACAGCCCATGGCGAGGTACAGAGCATGCACCCCAGCCTGTAGCCTGCCTACGTGATCTCTGCTGTGCATGGGCAGAAGTTGGCTTGAAGCCAAAGCAAGTGAGCAGCGGCGCAAATGCTCACCAGGGCCGATGGCAGACACCAGTCCCGGGTCAAACATTAGGTTGAGAGCTAGCTGGTCGTCGATGCCGCGGTGCTCTGAGTCTGAGTGATGCTCCTTCCCTGAGTCCGTCAGCGTCTCAAACCAGGCGCGCAGGAAGGCGCGGGTGGCGGGGCGGTTGCGGGCCGCAAACAGGCCGGTGTTGAAGGCAACGCTGCACGTTTCGCAGAAAGCCAGAGCGGTGAGCAGAGAGGGAGCCAACAAGAGAATGACCCAGACCACACCAAGAAGGACAGGCTTGAAGAGCGAGGTGGCAAGGCCAGCAGGACACCACCTCCCACTCTCGGCAAAGGAAGCCGAGGAGCCACTGCATGCTCACCCTGCATTCCCCGGCACATGTCCGCACAGCACCTTGTCGTGCCCTGGCTGCCACTCATCCTCCATCTGCAGTGCAGGGAGAGTGAGCCTGAGCCACCCAAACCTCTCTGAGCCAGCGTGAAACCTATTGCACAGAAGCACAGGGGAGGGTGAGATGCTGCTGCAATCACTCGCCCGGTGGCTGAGGCAGTCGGACGAGACGAAGAAGTCTGCGGCCGGCCGCTGGTTGAAATATGTCCACGGCTGCCGCAGCCAGACCGTGTCGCTGTCGCTGACCACCAGCAGCGGCAGCTTGGGGTGCCGCTCCAAAATCTCCAGCACAAGACGCACCTGCGGGGCAGCAAGGGCAGCCATTCACCCCCACCCACTCAAATACTCAACCATGAGCCAGACCCATGCAGGCTACAGGTTCCAGCTACGAAGGCACAGCAGCAGGCGACATCCCACCTTGACTGCCCCCATGGCCCTGAATGCAGCAAAGTCGCCACGAAAGTTCGCAGGGGTGGTGAACTGGGCGCGCACGCAGGGCAGGCTGTGGTTGGCGCACAGATCCAGCATGGCGTCATCAAAGGCTGCAACCACATGCAAGGCATCAGCGAGCCAACGTTGTACATTCGCTTGTGTGATCTGTCGAGCTGAAGCAGGCATGCCAAACGAAGCAGAATTCAGGGATGCAGGGAAGGCAGGCGGCATACCTGCAATCACGTAAGGGGCGCCGATTTGCCTCACGCCAATGGCCCAGTTGTGCACAAAGTTGAAGTAGGCAGCGTTGCCATAAGACAGGAATAAGTGTGGCAATTTGTCCACAGCCAACAGCCTGTCGATGGCATCTGCTGCAGCTGTGGCGGCGTTGGACACGGCCCCAGCGACATCCGCCGCGGCTGTGAGGTTGAGCGGCTGCGCTGCCCTAGCGACGCCTGCTCCTAAACTGCCAAGCTGTGCTGCTGCCGTGCTGTACTCTGGCGTGCTGAAGGTCACCGCTGGCACATCCCTGCAGCGGCGCAGGCGAGGCCGGTGAAATGGATATAGCGAACAGAACAGCCACCCTCGCAGCGGCAGCGAGGCGACGGCACAGGGGCGATCATCACATCAAGGATGCCGGCTGCGCACCCGACATAGATCCTGTACAGAATGAAGAGGATGGCGCAGGCCACCCCTGTGGAGAGGCCGGCCACAGCATCGCCAAATGCCTTTTTCTTACGGCGCCGCCTCCGCCGCCATCCCTCGCGGCGGTCATGGGGGGCGGGCAGCCCCATCGCGCCTCACAGCGCGTCACCGCCCCATCTTTCCCATGCCGCGAGCGTGAAGGAGGTGGTTCGAGAGTCACAGCAACGAACTGGGACTGCCGCTGCGAACAGGACAGGGAGGCTGGGCCTGAAGGGAAGCACAGGCACGCGCGCAGCACGTCCAAGAGATGCAAACAACCTGGTGTTCGCGCCGCTAAATGTTCCTGCTGAGCCTGCTGGGGCGGTGGTGCCGCCGTATGCCCGCTGCGGAGTGCCAGACCTATCTGTTTTTGTCAGCTGGATGGACTGGTTTGCAGTAAGCCATTAATGGATGCATGGAGTGAATTTTCGAATATTGTTGTTTCTGTTCAGCTTTCTGTTCAGCACAGCGTCTCAGTCGGCAATCAGTCGGAAAGGTCAAAAAGGGCCCCCACAAATGGTCGGCAATCAGTTCGGCAAGTAAAAATTGCAAAGGTCTCAATGCAACGTCTCAAAAATCGGTACTGAGCAGGTCTGCCATCTGCTTCTGTGACAGCGAGGGGGGCCCCGAGCCGGTCACTTGTTCGGCAGCTGGCGCAGGGGCCGCTGCCTCCGTCTTGGCCCGTGGCGGCAAGCTACTCCCAAACAGGCTGAATCCCGTCTTCATCTTGGGTCGGCTGACCCAGGCCGCGTTGCTTGAAGGCCTCCAGAAGCTGGTGCTTCCGCTGAGTCCCGCGCCACCGAACCGGAGGGCGCCGCTGCACCCATCCACCTGCGGCACCGAGCGGCTCTTGGCAACAGCAGCAGCACCGGCGACGCCGGCGGCGCCGGGAGAATCGCCAGCCTCGGCTTCATCCTCCTCGCCCGTCGGCCTCGTGCGCCAGAATGCCGCTAGCAGCGACCCCAGGATAGAGTGCATGCAGGCTGTAGGTGCAGGCAAGCCGGTCCCAGGCATCAGTCAGAAGACATAAGGCACTCCAAGCTGGGTTCTCCAGCTGTTGCGCTGCGCGAGCTGCAGTCCATGCTGCGCACCTGAGATGGCACACGGCACTGCCGCCACGGGGTGCGCGGGGAAGTGCACGCTCGCCAGCAGCGCCCCCAGGACGCTGTTTTGCATGCCCACCTGCAGCCCCGGAGCCAGCACCAGATGTGCTGTAAGACACGCTCACTGCTGGCGGGCACAGCTACTAGGCACAGCATCTGGCGTCCTGGGCATGCACCCAGCGCCCTGGGCACAGCCAACCACAGAGAGAGCCCACGGGGAGCCCCACCTCGATGCTGTTGGTCCGGGCTGCCCTCTCTGGGATGCCCAGCAACTTGGAAAGCGCATAACCCAAGAAGAATCCACCTGCGGCCCAGCATGCGTTGGAAGCCAGCATGTGAGGAGCTCCCACCTCCAGTGAGATGAAGGCCCCATCCCCATCCAGCGCCGTGCAGAGCTCGGCAGCGGCATTCAAGCCACGAGACGACCAGCACGCCAGCTAGATGGGGTCTGCATCCCTGCGCTCTGGCTCACCCGCGTGCAGTACAAACACCGCCGCCAGGAGCTGCGGCCCCGCCTGCATCACCGCCGCCGCATTCTGCGCCATCACGCTGCCGCAAATGAGCGCAATCAGCACCACCGCAGAAAGGGCGCTGAGGGGTGCCAGCGCCGCCACCTGCAGGGGGGGCATAGGGCAGGTGAAGGCTTGTCCAGACGGGGCGCTGGAGTCTGCACAAGCCACTCCTTCCTGGGTGCTTGGCTGCTCACCTGCTTAGGAAATGCCGTATTGAGGGCAGCCCCCAGCAGCACCGGCACCAGCACCACCTGCATGGCGACGACAGTAGAGATGTGGGTGTGTTCGGACTGATTGCACCGCATAAGTAGGGGAGCGGGTACGGCGACGAAGCTGTGCCAATGCAGTGCCTGGCTGTCAGGCAGCAGAGCTGTGCCTGGAGGGTGGAGACCAGCAGCGCTGCGGCATCCACAGGCACCAGAGTGCCCAGCAGCAGCTGCGTCAGCAGAGGGGTGGCCACGACTGCGCCGAGCTGCACAAACAGGGAGGCGGAAGGGCAAACGCCAGGCAAGGTCACAGGCCACTTTTTTCGACATGCAGTCTGGCTATCTGCACAATCGCCCAAAACTTTTCGACTCCACCAGCCCTCCTGCTTCCTCACCGTGCTGGCTGTCGTCATTGCCACACTGAGCGTCACATCAGCCCTGGCCAGGTACGTGACCACGTTGCTGGCGGTACCGCCGGGGCAGCTGCCCACGATGCACAGCCTGCAGGGTGAGGGTACAAACGACGCAGCTGGGCCGGAAGAGCACTTCATGGCACGCTGCAGCCCATGACCGGCATCAGCCAGGCGCCCTGCGTTGTGTGGGCATGCTGCGGCTGGGCCTCACCCAATGGTATAGGGAAGGGGCAGGGCCATCAGGCGGGAGACGGCGTAGGCCATCAGAGGCATGACCGTGTACTGGAGCGCAAAGCCGGCAAAGATGCAGCCCGGGGTGGCCAGCACGCGCTTGAAGTCGTCAAACGTCAGAGAAATGCCCATCCCCAGCATTGTGACTGCGGTGTTGCCACAGGATCCGGGACAAGACGGCCGCTTCAGCGAGCTCCAGCAAGAGCGCAGTGGGCAGCATTGCAACAGGCTGGTGTACGCAGACAGACCTGCCAGGGCTGGAGTGATGGCCGTTTTGTTGTCGAACCACGCAAAAGCTGCGGGGTGCACCAGCGCCCACACCGCCGCTCCCAGCACAAAGATGGGGAACAGGTTTGTCAAGGCGGTCGCCAGGCGAGAAAAGCTGTCCCACCAGCTGGGCCTGTCGCCGCTGCTGGAGGGCACCGCCGCCGCCGCCGCCGCCGCCGCAGCCGCAGCCGCAGATGGCCGAAGCAGACGCTGATGCCTAGGCATCTGGGAGGATGGATTCGCATGTGGGCGGAGTGCCATGCGCTGCGGCAAGCGCCTCGCGACCGCCCGCGCTCTCGACAGCGGGAGTAGCGGCACCGCCCGCGGGGGCGCGCGTGATGGCGCCCTGCGCGCAGGCACAGTCTCGATGCGCTTGTATTTCGTGTCGCATGCGTCAGGGCGGCGTTATGGAGGGCACAAAGGAACCAGAGAGGACGGACCAACCTGCAAGTCGTCTGCATTCTGCTGTCGGCGCTGAACAAATCCGGCTGATGGGGAGCGATGCAGGGCGATGGCACAGCGGCATGGCCTGCAGCGCTTGGAAGCAAACATGACGAACCTCAGCAGCCGCAGCACAGGTGGGCAAGGTGGCTCATTTGCTAGTATGTGATCGACATTTGAGCCTGCGCATGCCACAATTGTAAGCCAAAACGTTGTCAGGCTCTGCAGCCAGCCATGGCTGCCTGCCACAGTCTGCGTGCCTGCTCCTGAAACAGAACAGCTCTCCATGATCCCTAGGCCGTGAAGGAGCCGCCATGTCGCGGCCAGGCGACGCTGCGGCTGCTGCTGGGCGTGGCAAGCGGTTCCGCAGCAGCGGCGGCGGCGGTGGAGACGCTGTGACAGGAGGTGCTGGGTTCCTGGCTGGAGTGGCCTGTGCCCTTCTGTTTGCCCTGTGGAAGCATGCGCATGGGTGAGTAGCTGGGCACAACTTGGGCACGATGTTTGTCTTATGCTGCGTCTGTCGCCCCTGAGCCTCCACCACCGCGCTGGCGCAGGGAACTGCTGGTGCCCTCCGCCCTGCTTTCCAGCGAGGTCTCTGCCGAGTTCAACACCTCGGCAGCAGCCGTGGGGCAGGTTCGGGGCAGTGCCACAGCAGGCACAGATGCCCGCAAGGCCGCCCAGCCTGTCAACTTCACAGGCACAAAAGACTGGACCTCCGCCGTGACCGCTGCCGCAATGGCAGCAGCGGACGCAGTAGAGCACCAGATTGACGTGGACAGCCTACCCATATTATTCCTATCTTATGGAAACGCCGCCTATTTCAACTTTGTGCACAACTGGGCTGTCAGCGTGCAGCAGATCGGCGCCCCCTACGTGATCGGATGTGCGTCTGCAGAGCAAATGGGGGGCGGCTGGTGGTGGGGTTGACTGTTGCTATTGGGTGGGCTATCCTGATGAGTGCGCCAGGCCTACTGACCTGCTGCGCCACGCCATGCCTGACCCCCTGATTTGGTGTGCCCTTCCGCTTTGGTTGCAGCCTTTGACGACGCCATGCTGGATCTGTGCGCCAACCACAGCCTGCCCTGCGTGCGAGCCCAGTTTGCCACCGCCGACGACTTCCGAACCAACTTTGCTGCATTCAGGGCCATGGGGGCTGTCAAGGCGGGTCTGTTGCATTGCATGCTGCCGGCTGCCGACAGCTGCTGCCTTGGCTGGACTGGCTGCCTGCCCAGCCTGCAGGGCCGAGCGAGCGTGTGGGAGTCAGTTCTTCGTGTTTTACCTTTTCAACGGCATTCTCTTGTCTGTACTGCTCCATGTACTGCAGGTCCTTCTTGTGCTGGAGATTTTGGAGCGGCACCCCAAGCTGCCGCTGCTGGTGGTCAGCGACAGCGACACGGTCTGGCTACGGCAGCCCTGGACATACTTCGACCAGCGGCCAGCGGCAGACTTCTTCATCTCAACAGACTGCAACAGCATCGAGGCGAGTGCGCCCTGCTGTGGCGTGTGCGCTGCCGTGCTGTGCTGCGCTGCGCGCTGCACTGCGCTGCGGTGTCAATTGTTTTTGCCTGCATTGCCAGCAGACAGCAGCTGCACCTGGCTCAGGCACAAGCGTTAGCCCTGCAGATGGAGGACAGGTGGCAGCCCAACAACCCGTTGCCCAGCTGCGGCCACATCCCCGGCAACTGGGGCTTTGCCTTCAACACCGGCCTGTTTGCGGTGCGCAACCGCCCCGCTTCCCGCCGCTTCCTGCGGGAATGGGTGGACATGCTGACGGACCCAGCCAAGGAGAAGGATCAGCACGGCCGAGGTGTGGAGGACCAGCTGGCTCTCAACCTGCTGTTTGACGCAGATGGCAGCATGGAAACCCATGGCACCAAAAGAGCAGGAGACGGTGAGCAGGGAGGAGGCTGGGGGTCAGGAGCCTGGCGCTGCTGCTGGGGTGCCTGCCTGCCTGCCTGCCTTCCTGAGTGCCTGGCTGGCTATGCACGTCTACGCCTCACCTGCCGGTGGCGTGGATTGCTTCTCTTCCCCGCCTGCAGACGAGCCCCGCACCATCCTGGTTTACAATGGCACGCTGCGGGTACAGACGCTGCCGGTGGTGCTGTTTTCGGGCGGCCACGTCGCCTTTGTTCAGCGCACACCTTGGAAGTGAGCTTGCCTGCCCGCCGCTGCGGCTGGTGGTGGTCTGCTGCTAGCTGCTGCTGCTGTGGAGCCTGCTCCCTGGGCTGGCCAGCACCATTCACGGCTGTGCTGCGTTGGCTGGCCTTGCTGGCTGCAGGCACGGCATGCAGCCCATTGTCATCCACATGACCTACCAGCGGTGGTGGAGCGACGGCAAGCGCGCCCGCCTGCGCGAGTTTGGGCTGTGGCACATCGACCCCCCCGCCTACTGCGGCGCCGGGCCCGGCGCCCCGCTCAAGCTGCTGACGTATGAAAACGGGGTGGCAGAGTTTGTGGAGGATGTGGCCAAGCAGCGGTATCCCGGGGCGGTGGAGATGCCTCTGTTTTACAAGATGTGGCTGGCCATGACGTACCAGATCGCGGCGTTCAGGTGGAAAGCACGGCCTGCTCAGCCGCGCGTGCTGGCCTGATGCGCGGTGTGCCGCAGGCATATGTTTGCACGGCAGTAACTTCGTGTTCCTGCTGCTCTGTGGGCGCTCCCTGTCTGGGCTGTGCTCCTGCCCTTGCGTGCTCAACGACATGCGTGCTCAGCAATGCCGCCCGCCACTTGGTGTAGGGATGCGCTGGCGGCGGCGCGCATGCTGGGCCGTGCTGTGGTGCTGCCCACGCTGTGGTGCTGGTGCGACTACGACGAGGGCCCAGACATCCTGCAGACCTGCATCAACCCGTGAGTGAGCAGTCGGCGCGCTTGCATGCTGCTGCAACGGTGTGCCCCTCACCGAGCCCCTACATACCTGTTGTACCTGGGACCATCCTCTCCACCACCAGATACCACCAAATACACGCCCATACACCCACACTTGCCCCACCCTGTTCTGACCCTCCCCGCGGCGTGTCCCCGCAGGAGCGCCGACTATGCGGTGCCCTTCCGCTGCCCGCTGGACTACATGCTCGACCTGGAGATCATCGACTGGCAGCAGCTCAACTACCGCAACGCCGGCTTCCTGGACCTGCCGCAGGTGGGAGCAAGTGGTGGGGGCTGTGGATGGGCTTTGGCTTTGGCTAGCCTGCGGTTGGGATGCCGATGGTGGGCTCTTGCCCGACCACTGACGCTCAGCCCGCGCCCTGCTGCTGCTGCCGCGCGCCTCGCAGGTCCCGGCCTCCATCCGCAACAGCCGGGCGGTGGTGCAGATAGCGGGCGCCAAGCCGGCTGACCCCTTCCCTCGGGCAGCGAGCTTGGTGGGCGACGCCGTGACGGTGTGGCCGGGCATCTCCCAGGCAGATATGCAGCGGGTGATCCAACCAGTGGAGTCTGTGGCGGTGCTCGAGCTCAGGTGAGGTTCCCGCGGGACGGGTGGAGGGCCAGGGGGGGCTGGGGCCTCGGTGTGTGCAACCTTGCTGCGCCCGGCGATTCATTGGGCTCATGTGCCCACCTGCCTCCCTCCCCAATGCACCTTCTGCTGCAGAGGCTTTGTGCCCGGCTTCTTAGGCACCTGGACTGACGCAGGGCAGGCGGCACAGTTTGACGAGGGGTGGGCATGGAGCATGGGGGAGGCACGGTGGTGCTGCTCCTCGTGGGGACCACACGACGAGGAGTACCGCACACTCAACTACGCCTACCCGCAGCTGTTCAAAGGTGGGCCAGTGTTTCCTTTCGGGGCCTTGAGCTACAGCCTGCGGTTGCTGTGTTGTGGGTCCCAAGGCTGTGCACCGACAGCAGCCAGGCTTGAGTTTACGCTGCCGACTTGGCCCTGAACGCACTGTGCAGATGGGTGGCAGCCCTGGTCTGCTCCCATGATGAAGCCGCCCGACTGGTGCGACGAGGTCAGCGAGCACGGGGGCAACCGCCGCTTCACGACGCTGCCGCAGCACCCCTGCAAGTTCCTGCGGGAGCCGGGCGACGCGGCGGCGGGAAGAGGGGCGGGATAGCCAAAGGCAGGTGTTGCCAGCTGGTGCCAATGTCTGTTTCTCGCGATGCTGCCCGCGTTTGTAACAAATCTACACTCCATGGGATCATAACAGGCTGCAGCTTGCACCAGACACTCGGTAGCCACCGGGAAGCCGCTGGGCATCAGAAAGCAGTACAACTTCTGCTCCTTGTGGCAGGCCTCCTGCCACTTTTTCCTCCACGGCTCTTCCCCAGTTCGCTTCCTGCATCTCCTAGTCCAAGGCGGGTAACATCCCACTGGGCACCAGTGCCCGGTGGAAACCACCACGACTGGGCTGGCCCACTGCTGTTTCCTAGGCGCTGGTGCCCCGCCTTGCTGCCGCAGCTCACAGCGTGTTGTTGCACGCCGCTCGCCGGCTGCGGCTGCCGCCGCCACGCACCACCTCTACCGGCCACCGCTGCCGCTCGCCGCTGCTGCCCCATAGCGTGCCCCACTGCAGACACCCCACCTGCCACCATGGTGCTGCTGGGAGACACAGTGCCCGAGTTCAAAGCTGACAGCACTATCGGTCCCATCGACTCCTTCCACAAATTCTGCGAGGTGCGATTCAATGCAGCAGGGTGCCAATTCCCGCCCCGGTGCTGTGCCCGCTCGTCTGCCTAGCCCGCCCACCCCAGAGCTCGCCGCCCACGTGCCCCACCTCCCGCAGGGCAAGTGGACCATGCTCTTCTCCCACCCATCCGACTTCACGCCGGTGAGCGCGGATGCGGCCATGCCTGCCTTGTGCGCCAACAAGACGTGTGCGCCAGTGCCCACAGCTTCGGCTGTTGCGTCACCTGCATCTCCCCTGCCCTTGCCACGCCCTGCCACCTGCACTGGCCCTGCCGCCGCAGGTGTGCACTAGCGAGCTGGGCGCGGCGGCCAAGCTGCAGGGCGAGTTCAGCAAGCGCGGCATCCAGCTGGTGGCCCTGTCCTGCAACGACCTCGACAGCCACAAGCAGGTGGGCAGCGCCCCTTGCCCTGCGCTCCTGGCTGCTGGGTCCATGGGGCGGCGGTGCACATGCACCGCTCACATCAAGGCGCATCGCCACGTCAGCATGCATGCATCATGATCGGCTCCTCCCTCTGCTGCATCTCCCTCGCCAACATGTCACCCCGCAGTGGGTCAAGGACATTGAGGGCTCCATGAGCGACGGCAGGAGGATTGAGTACCCCATCATCGCCGACCCAGACCGCAGCATCGCCAAGCAGTGGGGTGCGCTGGGCGCAGGGGTGGGCAGTGAGGCGCTGGTGGCGTTCCAATCCTTGCTCGCAGAGGGACTGCCGCGGGGCTGGCGTGGGCTGGACCTCTCTGTTCCTTCGAGGAGTGGGCTGCTCTCGCTCACCCCTCTTTGCGTTGGTGCGCCCGTGCTCCCTGGCCAAGTGGACCCACAGGCATGCTGGATCCTGATGAGAAGCACCCTGCTGGCAGCTCCTTTGCGGCGCGCTGCGTGTTCATTGTGGGGCCCGACAAGACCCTCAAGCTCTCCATCCTTATGCTGCGCCCTGTGGGTGGGGCTGTTGCGCTCACGACTGCGTGCAGCATGGCTGTCGGTTGCAGCATGGATGTAGGCGGTGGTTGCCGCCATGCTGGGGGCTACCGCGCCCGATTCGGAGCTGCTTGGCCTGTGGTCAACCCGAGGCTGCCTTGCCCTTGCTGACCAATTGCTGCCTGCCAGCTGCAGGTACCCTTCCTCGACCGGACGCAACTTTGATGAGGCGAGCGGGGCAGCCGCACGATGGGATGCCCTGCTGCTGCCTCTCGCCCTCGTGCCCCTCGCCCCACACCTATTCCTCACCCTGTGCCTGTGCCCCACATCCCCCCACCCCGCCTCTGCAGCTGCTGCGCGTCATCGAATCGCTGCAGCTGGCGGCCAAGTATCCGGTGGCCACGCCCGCAGACTGGCGGCAGGGCCAGGAGGTCATGATCTCGCCCCGCATCAGCAACGAGGAGGCAAACAAGTTGGTGAGCGGCAGGGAGGGTGTGCAGGGCAGGGCATGTGTGTATGCCAGTGATGGTGTGTGTGAGGGTGGTGGATGGGGTGGCGGGCTGCGCCGCAAAGGAGTCTGGCGTGTGGGGTTGGGAGGGGATTTGGGTGCAGCTCAGCCCGACTTGTGTGGCGCTCCTCCACTTGGAAGCCCGGCAGGCGCCCAGGTGTGCTTGCCACCCCACCACCGCTGCTTCTGGCCTGCCCCGCCTGCCCCTCCGCCCTGCAGTTCCCCAAGGGCTACCGCACCATCCAGGTGAAGAGCGGCAAGGCCTACATCCGCAAGACGCCCGTGCCAGACGATGAGTCCCCCGCCCCCAAGGGTGGCGATGCCACCTGCGGCGCCTGAGCTGAGCCGACTCCCTGAGCTGGCTGCCTGGCGCAGCGCGCTCGCTGCCCAGCCCTGATCTCTGTCAATGCATTCCTTCTGCCGTTGCCATTCCCTTAGTCTTTTGAGCGACCAGCGTTGAGCAAGACATCGTTTTCACTGCGTTTGTCTTGTGCCGAGTGATCACTGGAAAGGCCAGAACCGTGCAAATCAATTCGCAAGCTACTCAATGAGCGGCCGCATCGCCCCACGGGCCAGCGCTGTCGGCGCCGCCGCCGCTGTCGCACCGCGCCTCTGCCGCAGCCATCTCCCGCCCCCATCCCAGCAGCCGCCAGATGGTGTGGGTGCAGACGGAGTTGACGCGGCGCCAGGTCATGGGCAGGTGGAAGGTGGGCTTGTTTGTCCAGCAGTCCTCGTGGCGCACAACCAGGCCGGTGCGGCGGTCCAGCAGCAGGCGAGACGAGGTGTCCAGCGTGGTGCACTCTGGCAGGATCTGCTGGCTGATGTGGTTGGAGCGGGCAAACTTGTAGTACTGGCGGCTGCGCACGATGACCTGCGGGAGCGGCAGCGGCAAGAGGAAAGTGAAGGAAGGGGCCTGGGCGATGGCGGCTGAGACAGTGCACCCCTGCCTGCCGGCGCGCTCAGGTCGGAACAGCGGCAGCAGCAGCCCCGCCCGTCGCACCTCCAGCAGGCTGGGCCCTCCGGGCTGCGGCGCCAGGTGCACCTCTGGCTGGCCGATGCTGCTGACCTGCACGCTGCTGAACAGGTGCTGCAGCGAGTAGAACTGCAGCGCCAGCTCAGAGCGGGGCCGCGCCGCCACTGTGGGATCGACAAACGTGGCGTCTTCCCTGCAGCAGCGGCAGCGCAGGCAGTTTGAGCACTCATCCGCAGCAGCCATCGCCGCGCGCAGGTCGTCTGCAGGCCTGGTGGGCTGCCGGGCGGTCTAGAGGCACCTGTAGCGCTGCCGGAGCAGGGTCACCAGCTCGTCGCTAGTCCTGGCTTGGTAAACGCTGAACACTTGGGCAATGATGTGTTCAAGAGGCTCTGGCAGCCCCTCCACGCCGAGCGCCACATCTGTGGGGCGGCGGTGGCGGCAAAAGCAGTGATTCCAGGCAGTCGTGAGCCGCGTCTCGCCAGCGGATACCCCCCTCTCAGCGAGCCCCGCAAAGCAGAGGGGGCGCAGGGCGGCACCCTCCTGCCCCCTCTCAACTCCTGGCCTCACCTCCAAGCCGCTCCTCCTGTTCGGTATGAGGGGGTTGAGCGTAGTCCTGCATAGCTGCGCTCACAACAGCGAGTCCAAGGCCACGCCGCTCTTCCTGTCCTGACGAAAAGCCATGCGCCGCCAGGAAGGCGCCAGCGGGCGGACCCTCCTCCTCCTCTTCCAGACATCCTTGCCGCGCCCCGCAGCTGCCGACACACTGCTTCGTTCAAGCAGAAAAGCAGGGTGAGTGTGCCCGCGGGAGGGTGCCATTGATGCACCCGTTATAGAGCCCCAGCGGGGCGCTGTAGCGGTGTGCAAGTGTGAGACCGCAAACAGCACTCTGCAAACTGGCGGCGTGGTGACCGAAAATCCTCCGCCGAGAGCCCTGCGACCCCCCATCCACGCTGCAGAACGAACGCCTTTGATTTGAGCGGCACTCTGCTATCCGCGGCTGCCTGGGTCGCTAATTGGAGGTGAGCGGTGCAGGTGCAGGGCGAGGCCCACTGTGTGACCACATGGGTCGCCGCGTTGCCGGCAGCAGTCACGCTGTGCATCACAGCGCGCGAGGCGAGGGAGCCGTCACCGGGAGGGCCGAGTTGGCGCCGCGCCGCTATGCCCGCTCTCTGCACCAGCAACACGCAAGCGGCGCCCCGCCGCCGCCACTGCTGCTGCTCACGGTTGCTGCCGCTCACTGCTGCCACGGCTTGCTGGCGCTCCCCCGGCAGGTTGGACGGCGCAGCGGCCGGGACCTGACGGCGCCAGCATGTCGGGGCGGTGGAACCAGCGGCACAGCGCCGTGCGCCGCATCCAGCAGGAGCTCAAGGAGCTGCAGAAGGACGACGACCCAGACATCTATGCTGAGGCCATCGAGGTGTGCAGCTGCGGCTGTGGGTGCGTGGCTGTGGGGGGGATGGACGGACGCTCGCAGGCGGAGGCACGGGGGCGCAGCGGAGGAGCAGGCCGAGAGGCAAATGGTGGGCATCTCCCGGTTTGTTGCTCACTCCTGCTACCGCTGCTGCCGCTGCTGCCCACTTGTGCTTGCAGGACAACATCTTTGAGTGGCACTTTGTCATCCGCGGCGCCTGGGACAGCGAGTTCGAGGTGGGGCCCTGCGCTGAGGGAGATAGAGATGCCTGCCTCGCGGCTGCACCAGCTCAGCCTGTCGCGTGCCCGCTGCCCCGCTGCCGCTGCTCCTGCGCCGCGCCTGCCTTTGCCTCACCTGCGACGCCGCACACGCCCACAGGGCGGCATATACCACGGCCGCATCCTCATGCCCGCCGAGTACCCCTTCAAGCCGCCCGCCTTTGTCATGCTGACGCCCAGCGGCCGCTTCGAGACGGGCGTCAAGATCTGCCTCTCCATCTCCTCCCACCACCCCGAGTCGTGGCAGCCGTCGTGGAGCGTGCGCTCCGCGCTGGTGGCGCTGATCGCCTTCATGCAGACCCCTGGCAACGGAGCGCTGGGGTCCCTGGACCACCCGGCGGACGCGCGGCGCCAGATGGCGTTAGAGTCCCGCCGGCGCCCGCCCGCCTACGGTGCCGCCGAGCGCCAGGAGCTGATTGCCGACATGCACCAGCGCATGCTGGACTCGGAGGAGCGGTCGCGGGCGGTGTGCAAGCAGGAGAGGGACGCCGACGCCGGCGGCGACGCGGCCGCCTCCAGCAGCAGCGCTGCCTCCCCCGCCGCGCCGGCCGCCGCGCCTGCACTGCCGGCGGAGGCCGCGGGGGCCGCCACGCCCGCGCCGCAGCAGCAGGCTGCAGCTGCTGGCGGCAAGCTGGCTCCGGCGCCGGCGCCGGCGGGGCCCGAAGCGCCGGCCCCAGGTGCTCCCGCTCCGTTGCCTGTGGCCCCCGCCACCCCCGCCGAGCCGGAGCTGAGGCACCGCGCCGCTGCGGCCGCCAGCCCCGTGGCCCCGCCTCCACCGGCGCCGCTGGTAGCTGAGGTGGTGCCAGCGCACCACCACCACCACCACCACCACCACCACCAGTCGTGGGAGGACCGTGGGCTGACTTACCTGGCAGTGCTGCTGGTGCTCTGTATCGCGGCCCTGGTCATCCGCAAGGTGCGCCGCCGCGGCAGCGAGAGCAGCGAGAGCGCAGCAGCGCCCCTCAGGGGCTGGGCTGGCTGCAAGGCAACAGGGCCGCGAGTTGGCAGACGCGGTGGGCTGCTTGTGCACAGGCGCAGCAAGGGCCTGGTGTGGCGGCCAGCCCTCCACCAGTGTGGCCGCCTCCACCTGGCGACATGGGCCACCATCTCCGCTGTCGACCTGCCTTGCTTCCGCCTTCCATCTGCCCCGCTTCCGCCTTCCACCTGCCGCAGGTGTTTGTGGCCTTCTCCTTCAGCTCCGACGACCTCTACAACTTCAACCACGTGGAGGGGGTGGAGCTGTGAGCGCACCGCACCCCATGCAGGCAGCCCGCCCGGCAGCCCGTGCGTGTGTGGAGCTGTGAACGCCCCGCCCACGTCCCCAGCCAAACGACTTCGTTGAGGCCCTGCCAGCGCCGCAGCCCACGCTTGCCAAGCCGCCTCCCGGCTGGGCAGCGTTTTGGGCCCTGGCGCCTGTTGTACCCCTCCCCACTTGAGCGCCGGGCCGCACCCAGCTGCAGGCCGCGGCTCCCATCTCTCCGCGCACCTGCCCTGTGCAACCCAACAATGCTGGCATGTCGCCGCACGCTGTGCTCCTCCCTAACTGTTCCTGCCTCTCCACACCCGGCCGCTCAATTCCTTCATCCTGCTGTACTGCGAGGGCGCCGCCCCCTGCTCCGCTGTTTCATTCTCAAAGCGCCCGTAACACTGATTGGAAGCTGTTGGCCCCAACTCTTTGTCATTCTGCGCCTATCAACGTTTTGTTTCCACGTCTTTACCTTATCCTGGCGCCACCAACCGGCGATCTGTACAAAAATCTGACAAATGGGACTGAAATGCAGTGCGGCAGAAGAGCTGAATGGGGAGCGACAAAAGATTGTGAGCTGCATGACGAGTAGGCCCAAAGGGTTGGGGCAAGGTCTGTTCTAGCAGGAAAGGCGGCCATGCGGACAGCGGGTGGTGACAAAAGGCAGAGCTCATGCAGCGGCGAGCAGTTCCCTCCTGTCATTCCGACCCTCCCGCATTCATCTGTGTCCCGGCTGCACGCCATCCATCAGGCCATGGTCACGACAGGCTGGGCCGTCGGGGCTTGACCTCGTTTGTGAGCGGGCCCCCCGCCACCGCCTCCAGCACGTTCTGCACCGTGGTGTCGGCGATGTTCTTCAGAGCTTCCTGCAGCAGGTGCCAGAGCAGGGCCGCAGCAGCCAGACCAGCGGTTCAGCAGGTTTTGACGACTGGCCGGTATTCCTTTCCAGGGCTGGCAGGCAGGCAGTGGCTGTGACTGGCTTGATCAGCTGCGGCTGCGAGGCTGCGGGGCGCATGCGCGGCGCTGAGCCAGGCCTCATGGTGCCTACCCGCGTGAGGAAGGCGGAGTGAGGGGTGATGATGACCTGCGGCAGCGACTTGAGGTACGCAAACCTCTTGTCCCACAGCTTCATGCGAGCCTTGGTGGTCAGCTCTGCGCACAATCAGGGGGACAGGGGAGAGGCACGGGTGGAGCGTGCGAGCAGCCAGACCAAGGTGGGCAGCACAGCCGGCAGGCGGGACGTGGCGAGCAGGAGGCAGCCAGGACAGGCCGGCAGCTGGCAGGGAGGTGGCAGGAGGAGCAGCAGGCTGCTTACCGGTGAAGTCGGCATCAAAGAGGTTGCCTGCACGTGACAGGAAGGAGAGGGTACGGTGGCAGCGCTGGACCAGGGTTGGTTCCAAATGCCTCCAGGTGCGTACTGGCTTGCAGGGCATCGGCATGCCGCTCCTATGCCCTGCCCCCTGCCATCATTCCAGGGCACCCTGCTCCTCCCTCCCAGCCACAACCTGCCCTCCCATCCACCACTCACCCTCGTTCTCGTACACGTCCATGGCCACCCCCCCCAGCTTGCCGTCCTCCAGCGCGGTGATGAGCGCATTGGTGTCCACCAGCCCGCCCCGCGACACATTCACCAGGATGGTGTTGGGCTTGAGCAGGGCGAAGCGCTCCTCGTTCATAAGGTGGAAGGTTTCTTGGAACAGGGGGCAGTGCAGGGTGATGAGGTCGCTCTCCTGCAGCAGCTCCTCCAGGGGCACATACTGCACGCCTGCAGGGTGGCACCGGCAGGCGGCACACAGGCGGGCGCGGGTCGGCAGGCAGGCAGGCACAGGGCGCAGGAGGGAGCGGGGGTGTTCCAGGTGTCGGGGTGCTCCAGGAGCTTGCCGCAGCAACTTGCCCCCTTGCTCCTCAGCTGGCCAGCTGCAGCAGCCGCGGGGCCTGGTGGGGCGCGCTCCCGGCCTGCTGGCTCTGTGTGTGTGTGTGTGTGGTGTAGCTGGCTGGCAGCCCTCACCCAGCGCCTTGGCTTCCTCGCTGGGGTATGGGTCGTAGCACAGCACTCGCCCATCCAGGCAGCGCAGCAGCTTGATCATCTGCGGGCGCAGCGGGCGGAGGGGGCGAGCAGGCACGAGGAGGCAGGCACGTTCACGGCATCAACACAGCTTTGCTTTTCCTGCTGCCCAGCCAGGCCACCGCACTTCCACTCTGCTCTCTCGGGCTACCTCTCGCAACCGGCGGGCCCGGCCCGGCCCGGCCAGCTGGCAGCACAGCGCGCGCAGCGGCGCACCTCTATGCCGATGTTGCCGGTGCCCACCACGCCGTACGTCTTGAAGCTCAGCTCCATGCCCACGATGCCGCTCAGCGTGTAGTTGCCCGCCGACACGCGCTGCGTCTGGCTGCGCAGCTCGCGGGCCAGCGCAAAGGCCAGCGCAAAGGCGTGCTCCGCCACGGAGCGGGGGCTGTAGGCGGGGACGCGCACCACGCGGATGCCGTGGCGCTGGCAGGCGGCCAGGTCCACACGGTCGTACCCTGCACGCCCCGGGGCAGGAGGTGTGGTTTGCTGGTGGGGAGGCGGGGCGTGTGTGTTAAGGAATGTTGTGGGATGGGAGGGGCCAACAGAGCCTGCGGCAGGCAGCCGCACTGCTGCAGCCGTGCTCCGCTGCCCAGCGGGGCGGCCCCCAGCCCGGCGCACCCGCGCAGCGCATGGCGATGACTTTGACGCCACCCTGCGCCAGCTTGTCCACCACCTGCAGCAGCAGGGCAGGGCAGGGCAGGGCAGGGCAGGGGTTCGTCTGGTGGACATGTGGTGGACATCTGCCGGTGTGGGCACCGGCAGGGCAGGTGCCCTGATCCCTTGCTGGCTCCCTCGCCCCGCATGCCCTTGCCAGAGCCACGACAGCCACCTAAACACACTCCCCACACACCCCACTGCGGCCCCACCCACCTCCCCGTCGCACAGGTCGTTGACAAACAGGCAGGCCACGGTGCAGCCGTGTGCCAGCTCAGCCGTCTCCTTGTCCAGCCTTGCCTCGATGAACTGCAGCGGCAGGGAAGCAGGGGGCGGCCGTCACTCAGGGGTGCAGCCTTTCGAAGGCGCCCGCTGGCTGAGGACCGACTGGGCGTGGGCTGGCACAGCGGGAATGGTGCGCCGTCCAGCCAGGCCGCCAGCCAGCCGGGTGCGCACCCGGATGTGCTCTCCGCCGATGGCATCCTCTAGGGGCTTCTCCAGGAAGTCGAGAACATAGGCCTGGGCGGAGAAGATGGCGACGTGGAAATTCTTCAGCGCCGCCACCGTGGGCGTCGGCCCGCTCTGCAGCAGGCAGTCGATGGGGAGGGGAGCGGGACGGGGTGGGATGGGCTGCGGTGGAGGTGGCGGAGGTGGGGATGCGCGCAGGGGCAGCGCGTGTGCCGAGGCCACGCACCCGCGCTGAGGAGCGGCGCTGGCGGAGGGGCGCGGCGGGGCGCCGGCGGTGGATGGGGGCGGGAGCAAGTGCGCGGGCTAGCATGGCCATAGGCACGTCCCCACCGCGCACTCCTTTCGTGCGCGGCCAACCCCCTAGCGTGGGAGCCTGGCTGATCGGGAAGGCTGAAGCATGCGGGCGTACTAGAGACCCCTGCCTGCCCACGAACTGCGCCTGCTGCTGGATCATGATTGGACTATCTAACTAATAGAGAGCGGACCTCACCATGGCAACCCCCGATCTGCTCCCGATCACTAGCTTTGAAGAAGTGGGGAGCTCTGCCAGGAGCAATTGGCGCTGGTGGAGTGGTCTTCGACCGATCAAGTCATCGTTGGAAACCCTGGCCGACGTGGCCCGGCCGGGCCCGGGCGAACCCACGTGGCGAAAACCCTACCCTCGTGCAGTTATGTCTGTTGCAGATAATTATCCACAGGCAGCAACGACATCCCCCCCGAAACCTCTTTCGCAAATGCTGTCTGTTTTTTGCAAGCCGAGGGAGTTGCCCGGCAGTCCGCTGAGCCCAGTAGGTGAGCACTTGCATTGTGGCAAAATCACGCTGAGCCGTGCGTGCGCCTGCACCGTGACTGTCGTGCACCCCCCAGCCAGGGCCCTCTCCACGTTCCGTGGCGGCTCTGGGTGCTGCCTGCTGGCCCGCCACCTGCATCAATGCGTCGATCGTGTAGAGTGGGGGCTCCCGTGGCTTGCGGCGGCACTGCTTTGCCTGGGGCTGGCCGCTGGCGCCGCCTCCCGCCGCGCTAAGCGCCTCCGCCTCCTGCTGTGGCTGGGTGCAGGGGCCAAGCGCCGGCTGCTGGAGCACTCCAGCCTGATCCCGGAGGAGGAGGAATATCTGCAGCAAGTGCTGGACAGCCTGTACACCTCGCTGCCGGGGCGCCAGCACGCCTACGTGAGTGGCTTTCGTTCGTTTCTTGGGGGCGCCCTGTTTGGGGGGCCGCCGCTGCCGCTAAGTGTTGTTGACGTGTGGTGGGCTGTCGACAAAGCTGGTGACCGGCTGGCCGCCGCCACCGCTGCCTTTCCACCTCGTCGTGCAGGTCACGGAGCACTACTTGGGCGGCGGCGCCAACGCCATTGCCTACATCGAGTCGCTGACCCAGGGCATGGCCAGCGACGGAGACGTGTCCGTCTTCTTCAAGGGAACCCTGGAAGGTAAGGACAGGCCCACAGAATAGGGGGGCTCCCTCTGTACCAGCTGCGATGGCAGCAGCTGTCAGCATCCACCATGGCGCCGAGCTGCATCGTCACAATTCCCCCCGGCAGCCTTCATGTGGCGTGCTGAAATGAGCAGAGATCGACACCTGGCGCCATGCTGCCTGACCACCTGCCGCCGCCTGCAGACAACCCTGAGGAGTTGGAGGACGCGCAGTTCATTCTGCAGGAGTACAAGCGCTGCTTCGACGTCGGCCCTGGCGGCGGCGGCGAAACGCCGGTGATGGACGTCCTGGCGCAGGTGGGGCTTGAGCTGCTGCTGCTGCTGCTGCTGCTGCTGCTGCTGCTGCTGCTGCGCAGCATGCATGAGCTCAGCAGCCACGGGGCAGCATGTCGGGCAGCTCCCGCTGCTGTGCTGCCCCTCCAGCCGACCGCTTGCCCCGGCCCTGCCCCCTCCTCTGCAGCTGCGCGGCCCCTGGGCGTTTGTGGTGTACGACCGCAGCCACGGCCGCATTGTGGCGGCACGGGACGCTGCCGGGGAGGAGCCCTTGTGCTGGGGCACCACGCTGCTCAGCGAGGGCGTGCTCTTCTCGAGCGACAAGTGAGCAGCGGCGGTGGCGGCGTGCACCCTTGGGGGTGGCGCGGCTTGTGTATGCGCATTGCCGTTCCGGTGGCTGTGCACCCCTTCCCACAGCCCGCGTCCCCCGCATCCCCGGCTGCCGCCGCCGCCTTGGTGCAGGGCGCTGCTGGAGGGCGAGTGCGCAGATGCAGATGACTTTCCTCCCGGGGCCATCTATGTTTCGGAAGACTTCTCCACTGTGGGCCAGATCACCTCGTATGCAGCGGACAGCGCGGCAGCCGCTGCGGCGGCGCAGCAGGAGGCGCTGTGCCGGGTTGAGTCCAGCAGCGACCTGCGCAAGGTGCCCAGCGTTGGCCAGATCGAGGCCAACTGACGGGCCTGAGACGCTGCACGCCGCCGGAGCCGGTGCCCCGCCTGGGCGTGTGGAGAGGCAGGCGGCGGGCCCTGCTGCCCAGCCGCACGTGGCGGCGCTGTACCATTACCATAACGAATACTGACTAGAGCAGACCTGCCCAGGCAGGCAGACAAGTATATTCCTCGGGGCATTGTTGACCCTTAGACGTAGGCAGACAGGCACACTGTTTGGGTGCACAGACACGCCCTGTACACTATTTAGACCAGCTGAATCCTGCAATGCACGCGCCTCTACCCTTTCTGCACCAATTTTTGGTTACCACCAGGCGCCGGCCTCCCTTGTTTTCCTGCCCAGCTGCTTGCCCGCATTTCCACGTTACTACTTGTTCAGCACCGCTTGACCCCTGGGTGCCCCCACCTTGACTGCTGGACCACACTGCTGGACACCACCTTGAACTAGGTTGCTGTTTATTGTTTGTTGGCTTAGCGGGCATGGTAAACAAATGATGGGGTGGATGCACAGCACATTGGGGCACCCCAACATGAGAGCGTATGGTGGAAGACACAGGCATGGGCAAGCAGCGCACGGTTACCGGGCGGAAAAATGTTCAGGAGTGCGCAGGAAGAGGAAAACAGTGATTGCGCTGGGAAGGCGGGTTGGGTTGGGTTGGGCACGGGAAGGGGAAGGCGGGGGGCAAAGGAATAGAGACAGGGTAAGGGAATGGAGGCAGCTTGACATGCGAGGGGCATGTGCCTGCCAGGCAAGTACAGTGCTGCTCATGCATGGTATGCTGCCCAGTGAGCTGAACGCTGAGCACGCGGGTGCTGGGGAGGTGCCCTCACAGCACGATGCGCTCAGCCGACTTGGCGCTGAGCTTGGCGCTGAACATGCTGGCCTCGCAGCACAGCTCGCGCACCACGTTGCAGTTGAGGCCGGGCACGACGGCCCGCCAGCGCGCCGCCTCCTCCGCATCCCAGCACCCCCGCTGCCGAGCCTCGTACTCTGTCAGCTGCTGCGCCTCTGGCGGTCCCGCCCCAAAGCTGCTCAGCGCCTGCCGCCTGCCTTCGCGCCGGCTGCAGCCTGCCGGGTCATCGCCGGCAGCGGCGCTGCTGCTGCTGGGGCACCAGTTCAGAGCCAGCGTCAGCTGCTGCGTGTCGCATGCCATGCTGAAGTTGCCAGCCTGCAGAGGGGCGCAGCGAGCAGGCCAAGCCAATCACGACAGATGCAACAGCAGGTGGGCAAGCAATGGAGCATAAGGTGGGGCCATGAAGCGTGTCCTGTGTGCACGGCTCAGTTAGCAGGCAAGGAAGGCGGAGGCTCACCTGCGTCATAGCCAGCACGGAGGTCAGCCGGTCCAGCACCCAGGGCGGCAGCGCCGAGCCGCGCAGCTCCAGGCGGTGCAGCGCCCGGCTGGGGTCGCGCGCGTCGCTGACGCCCAGCACCTGCGGGAGGGCGGGGTTGGGGTGGGTCGGTGGGCGTGGAAGTGCGGGAACAGGGGGCGCTGCCAGGGAACTGCCATTCGCATGGCAGTACCGCCTAGAACCGCTGCTGACGTCCCGCCGACTCCCCCAGCAGCGCCCTCGGCAAGCCTGCCAGCCGCCTGCCAGCGCCCTCCCTCCTGCCACCCCTCCCGCCACCGCCCACCTTGGGCTGCACGGCCTGCAGGCTGGCCTGCGCAAACTGCACCGGCGCCAGCAGCAGCGGCACGTCGCACTCGTCGCCGTGGGAGCGGAAGGACTCGTTGAGCAGGAAGTCAAAGAGGCCGTGCACCCGCACCGCGCCCTCAAACACGAGCAGCGACTGCGAGCCGTCCAGCGGCACAGCGGACTGCATGGGAGCGCAGCGGGGGCGGCAGAGCAGGGGCGGCGCAGGCAGGGTGCTCAGATGGGCGGCCGGGAAGACTGCCAAGGCCACCCTGGGAGCTGAGAGGGCACCCCGGGGACAGCGTGCCGCACTGCCTGCCTCCACTGCCTGCCTCTATCCACACCATCACCACTGCCAGCCAGCTGCTCCCACCTGGTCGAGCTCCGCGGCGCGGCGCTCGGCCTCCGAGGGCAGCAGCGGCGCCTCAAAGCCCAGGGCGAGGCCGCCAGTCATGAGCGCCCGCAGGCCAGAGGTGGAGCGCGTGAGCAGCGCGTGCAGGCGCGGCCTGCCGCTCACGCCCGCCGCGCCGAAGAAGACTGCGAATGGCTTCTTGGTGCCCTGCACACAGACGCGGGCCAGGCGGGCCATGGGGCAGCAGCGGCAGGCAGGCGTCAGCAGGCACGCTCAGCCGGCCCGCACTGCGCCTTGCCACATGCCCGCCGCGACCCACCACCGCAACATGTGTGCATCCCGGCACCCACCTCTGGCGACAGGTAGTAAAACGCGTCGCACGCTCCGCTGCGCAGCGTGCCGTACAGCGAGGCAAAGGCGGTCTGCCAGTCACAGCGCCTGGCCGCCGCCTCGGGCGGCACGCCGCGCGGCTTGGCGCCGCCGCCCGCCGGCCCCGCCCGCGGGTCTGCGGGGAACTGCCAGCTGTGCAGGGCGGCCAGGTAGCGCTGCTGCATCGACAGGCTGTGCACGCCCTCGCCAGAGGTGAAGGCGCGGTGGGCCTGCACCACCGCGGCGCCGCCCAGGAACGCCGCCTCATCTGCTATGGAGAAGGCGGAGGGCGAGGCGAAGCGCACCGTCGTCTTCAGGCTCCAGTCCAGCGGCGCTGCGGGGAGCACGGCAAGGTGGGGAGGCGTCGGTTGCCGCTGCTCAAGCAAATGGGTGCGCCAGTGCAGGTGCATGAAACATGTGCACAGTGCTGCAGGGATGCATCTGCCCTGCGGCCATGCCCTGCCCACGCCCGGTGCACGAGGGGTGGAGCAGTGCGCCTACCCGAGGCGGAGGCGGGCAGGCTCCTGTCACGGGAGGCGGTGGCCGCCGCCGCCGCGCTGAGGTTGGTGGCGTCGGCGGCGTGCAGGCGCGCCACTGGCTCCGGCAGGTATGAAGCCGGCAGGTCGGCCAGCACCTGGCGGCTCTGCCGCTGGCTGGCTAGGTCCTCAAACGTGCGGGCGGCACGTTGAGGCTGGGGGGGCAGGCCCAGCGCAGCGCCACCCGCCGCCTTGGGAAAGAGCCCACTGAAGTCGGTGGGCCTGTAGGGAGAGCATAGGGTTGGCAGGAGTCACAAGGACAGTCAAACATGTGCACGCACGGGGCAAACTGGATGGCAGCGGCACTCAGCAAGGTGGGAGCCAGAGCCAGGGGCAAAGGGCTGCCGCCACCCACCCCGCATTCTGCTGCGCCGGCGGCGGCTGGCTGCCGAGCTGCAGCGTCTCGCGCTCCAGAAGCTCCTCTATGAGCGCCGTGGTGCGCTCGCGCGCATTCTCGTCGGCCCTGGCCCGCTTGGCAGCGGGCGGCGGCTTGCCCTGCAGCATGTCGGGAGCACATGTTTCAAACCCGCGCCGCCGCGCCATGGCGGTGCTTGCAAGCCTGGCCCCTCCACGCACCAGGCACGAGTCCAGCGTCTTGCGCTTCTGGTACTCCGCCTCGCTCTTGACCGTGGCGTAGCTGGCCTTCATCATTTGCTGCCTGGTGTGGGCTGCCACCGCCTGACGCAGGCTGCCCCCGCCTGGTGCCGCCCCCGGGCTGGCAGCGGGACCTCGGCTTCGAGCTGGGCTGGCTCAACGGTGTGCGGGAACCAGGGCCGCCGCCTACGCGTGCAGGAAATTCGGAGCAGTTGTTGAGGACGGCAGCGAGAGCGGGTGCGGGCTCTAGTGACTGGTGATCGAGAGGCGCGGAGACGGGTGGAGAGCCTGACGCCCCTCGCTTTCGTTACCATCCAGCAACCAAGTACAACCGTACCGCGGCAAGACCCCTCTTCACAGCGCGTTTTCCTGTGTCGACACGCGCGGACATGCCGTCAAGGTCAGCCTGCTGCTGAAAATGCAGGAGCTGCAGGCCTACTCGCCGGTCAAGCAGGGGTGGGTGCTGCCGTTCAGTCTGCTGGGCACCAGAGAGACTGGGCAGAAGGCGCACAACACAGCTGCAAATCGTGCACCTGCCTGCTTTCGTGCCGCAGGTTGGGACAGCCCGGCGCCACCGAGTTTGTGTGGCGGCGAGCCGACCGACCCGCGGCGGGTCCACCAGGCGCTGCCGCTCCAGCCCTCACCAGCCCAGGCGACAGGAGCCACAGGCTGGCGGCGGCCGCCGACCTCGCTCGGCGATGTGCGGAGCTGGGGGTGCGCCCGCCGCTGCCACCACCGCCGGCTCAGCCACCTACCCCCCAGCCTATGCCCGGCCATCCATCTCAGCAGCATGACCGCCTGGCAGCCCTGTCGCAGCAGCTGCACCAGCAGGGCAGCCTGCTGGCCAGTGCGGTGCAGGGCCAGACGCAGCAGCTGGCGGCGCAGCAGGCGCTGCTGCAAAATGTGGTGCAAGGCCTGCTGTTTGTGAGTGCCAAGGCCAACCGAACCCCACCTGCCGCAACCACCGCACCAGCAGTTGCGCCAACCTCAGCAGCGGAGGCAGCAGTACTGGCGCCGGCGCCAGCGGCTGTGGACGTCAGGTCGGCAGGCGCACAGCCAGGCAGCCAAGGGCCAGCTCCCGGCAACAGCAGTGAGTTGGACTCACCCGCCCGCCGCACAGCGGCGCTTGTGCATGGGCTGGCTGGCAGGCTGCACGCCGTGGGCGAGGGTGGCGGCGATGTGCACCCGGCAGCAACTTGCGGCAATGCCGGCAACGGCGGGTCACCTCCATGCGGCGTGCTTCGCGTGCCGCTACTGGCGCAAATCGGGAGTGCTGCACCGCTGAACAGGCAGCTGCAAGGTGAATGCTTGCTACCTGGCAGCAGGCAGGCCAACGACACAAATGGCCTGAGCCAGCGTGCTGCTGTCGCCGTGCAGCCGCCAGCCGCCAGCCAGAACAGCGGCAGCAGCAGTATGCCCGCACGTGGCCTGCATAGCACTGGAGGCGTCAGGCAGCTGAACAGGCCTGCCTGGGATGATAGGACGGTCATTGTGGAGCCGCGAGGAGGGGCCAAGTCGAGGAGAGACTCCCGGCCACCGCCGGCACCACCCCCACGCCGCACGCCAGGAGGGCTGGCGCCCCACCTGCTGCTGCAGGAGCTGAAGCGGCTGCAGCGCCGCAGGTCCACCGGCGGCAGCCTAGCAGAGCGCAGTGGCCAGGGCGGCAACAATACAAGGGCTGCCAGGCGCACCCAGCAAGCCGCCGCCCTGCCGCCTCCCAGGCACCCGCTCACCGCTCCTGCAGAGGCACCTGCTGCCAGCACAGCGTGGCAGCCACCGCCATCACTGTTTGGCCGCCACCAGGCTCCTTCTGCTGGCAGGTTGCGCTTCCAGCGTGCCAAGGAGGCAGCGGCGGTTGGGAGGGCTGGCCAGCACCCTGCTCAAGCGCCTGGAGCCAACGGTGGGGGCAAGGGCAGCGACATGGCGCCCGCTCCGGCAGAGACTGTCAGCCAAGAGAAGGGAGCTCTCCATCAGTGTGCAGGAGCTGCGCATCCCCCGAGCCCGAGCCTGGTGTGCCTGCCCACTGCGCCTGGTGGTGCTGGCACCATGGCACATGCTGGACAGCCAGGGACAGCCGGAGGCTGCTATAGGGCGGCGCTTGTAGAGGAATCAAAGGCAGTGCCTGCCGAGCTCAGCAACAGTGATGTGGAGGCGATTTGCGACAGGCTGTGCCGGGAGGTGCTGCTGCGGGAGTGCGCACCCTGTGTGCCCTTTGTTGGTGCAGAATAGCGCATCTGTGCAAGGAGCTGACCATCACATCTGCCAAAGATCAAATTCATTAGCAGGGCTTGCAACAAACTGTCAAACTCAAGAAAGGGAGCAGTCAGTGGTGGGAAAATGAAGAACGATGCACTGTGCAAGCGGTGCGCCTCGCTCGGCGCCTGCACCATCATCCGCTGCCCACCGCGCTGCCCTGTGGCTCCAGCAGATACTGCTGCCACTGCTGCTGGACGGCGGCATCCCCGTACCACAGCTGCCCCGCCTTGCGCCGCGGGCTGTGCCATACCCCCGGCAGCACCAGCTCTTCCGCCCCGGGCAGCTGCGAGATGCACAGCGGCGTCACGCCGTCCCCGTCCACATCGCCACGGCCGCAACCACTCTGCGGGGGCAAACCTTGCACATGCGTGCCGTTCAGCGACTATGTTGCCTGTCTTGAGCCAGGCATGCTGCACAAGCAATGCGCACCTTGTAGGATTCATAGGCAAAGTATCGATCCCACTTGGTGATGCCATCGCCGCTGCCGCTGCTGGAGCCGGCGTCGGCATCGCTGTCGCCGGCGGTGCTGCTGCTGCTGCTGCTGCTGCCGCCGGCACCCCACAGGGCACGCCCGCGGATGGCGTCGCCGCAGGCGCACACCACCCGCACGCCGCCCAAGCTGGCGGCGGCAGGATAGAAGTGGTTGGCAAACTGCAGGCTGCTTCCCCGCACCCCTGCTGGTGCTTGATCAAGGTGGGCGCCCGTTAGCATCTCCTACAGCCACCACCAGGCACCAGCAGCATGAAACACAAGAGCAGCGTGCTGGCCCCATGGATCACCGCACTGACACAAGCAGCACACTGGTTGCTACGAGGGCCCACCTGTGCACGCCCGAAAGGGTAGGCCTCAATGCTGGCGTGCGGCGTGCCCAGCGTTAACAGCGTGTGCACCAAGCCGCTGCGCACGTACCGCACACCTGCGCGCAGCGGGGCACAGGGCTGGCTGCTGCTGCTGATGGGGCGCTGGAGCAGGGCGGCGTTGTCAGGGCACACCTTGGTATGCCTCGCCGCCGAGCAAGATGCGGGCAATCCAGCCGCCAGCGCTGTGCCCCACTAGCGCCATGCGCCCGTGCCTGCAATCACAGCCTCGTTTAGCATTCCAGCCTGCCCCTTGTTGACATGTGGCAGCAATGTTTTGGGCTGTCCAACCTGGCATGCAGGTTCTGCAGCGCCTCATCGAGACGGCTGAGATACCAGTCGAAGGATCCTCCTGCCAGCACTGGGATCCAGTCTGAGAATGCCGTTGGCACAACGTCTGCACATTGTGTGGAGGGCTGTGCGGTTAAGGGGTCTCACCCAACCACTGCCCAGCTGCCATGACCGATGACCAGCCTGTGCACACCTGCATGGAATCCTTTGGCGTTCAGATCTGCCACCAGGCCCGAGTATTGTCGTGAGCTGAAAAGGAATCCGGGGAGCACGAGGACCGCGCCGCCGCCGACCGCCTCGTTGCCGCCTGCACTGGCCCTGCATTGCCGGGCACGCCGCTGCCTGCTGATGCTGCTGTGGCCGACACCACGCCATCTTCTGGAGGTCGTAGAAGGGCAGGCAGGCGCCCAGGTGCTGCGCGGCGTCGAAAGGGGCATGTGGGCTACAAAGAGAGTCAACCCTGATGCTGTGGAGGGAGGGGCCGATCGGATGGTTTCGGTTGATGTGCTGCTGAGCCCTGAAGGCCCACAGCGCAAAAATAAATTTCTGTACTTCAATTGTACTTCGCACGCGCCAAAACAGGCTCTCCCGGGCTCCCTGCGCTGGCTGCCACTGACCTACTGCTGCTCCCACCGGATCAACGTGCCTAGCAGCGAGTCAAACCCCCAACCTCCTCTCGGTGCGGCGACAGCGCGAAGGATGGGCTCCAGGGACCCCTACTACATTGTGAAGGATGAAGTCGGCGAGACGGTGCGTGGTGCGGACCGCCCGGTGCCCCTCCCTTCCGCCGCCGCTCTGGGGCCGCCCGCTGACGCTGTTTCCGTCCACGACGCCTACTGCAGCTGCGCGGCGTGCAAGCCAAGTTCGGCAAGTGGCAGAACATGCCACGCATGAGCGCGGAGAAGAAGGCGCTGCAGCAGGAGCTGGAGGAGGACTGCCAGAGCCTAGAGTACATGGTGCGTAGCGGGCCTGAAACGTGCCTGCTCCTCAGCCTGCTCTTCCTGCTTGCCTGCCCGGCTTTACCGTTTGTCGCGCCATTGCTCACAACCACAGGTTGCCGAGATTGACAAGTCCATCGATGCAGCAGAGCGCAACCCGCAGCGCTTCAACCTGTCGCAAGCCGAGCTCAGCGACCGGCGCAAGTGGGTGATGAGCACGCGGCGGCAAATGAGCAGCATGTCCAGCGGCCTCTCGGCTCCAGCCAGCGGCGGCGGCGGCCAGGCCACGCCCACCACCGCGTCGGGGAGGCTGGCAGCGGCGGTGCAGGAGGAGAATGACCGATTCATCCACTCAGAGGGCGACCGGCAGCAGCTCATGATGCAGTGAGTGGCGGGGCCGTGCAGTTGGCTGGGGCACAGCTGCTCAGTGCTGACAACCCAGCCAGCCGAACACCTGCTAATCAGTTCATGCCTGCTCCTGCCTGCCTGCCTGCAGGCGGCAGGACGAGGACTTAGATCACTTGAGCCACCACGTGCTGCGGATAGGGGAGCTGGGCAAGGAGATGGGGCAGGAACTGCATGTACAGGTGCGCCCACATGCTGCCCTTGCTGGCCAATGGAAGAAGCATCCAGGAGGTGGCTGCAACCTCTGGTGCAACTGTGTCCTGGCTGTGACGTGGTCGTGGGCACTGCACCCGCAGGGCCAGCTGCTGGATGAGCTGGATCAAGAGGTGGAGGGGACGTCCACGCGGATTGCAGCAGCGCAGGTACGGGTTGAGGCAGCTGAGATGCCGTTGAGGGTATCTCGCGTGCCAGCGCGGCTTGCTGTTCTGTACTGCATGGATGTGAAGGTTGTGCTGCACAGCGTGCTGGCAATCAGCCCTGCACTGGCTGCTGCAACCTCTGTTGCCCACCTGGCTCGCTGGCATTGACGATGCTGCCGGCCTGCCTGCCTGCTCTCCGCCACCACTGTGGGGCTCTGCTGCAGAAGAAGGTCGAGTATGTGCTGCAAAAGGCGGGGTCCAAGGGACAACTGGCGATCATTGGCTTCCTCATCCTTGTGCTCATCATCCTCATCTTCCTTGTGGTCTCCTGACAGCCGCCGCCCGGCTTGCCCTCGAACATGTCTCCCTCTGTGCCACCTTGCCAAGCCACGCTGTGGGCAAGCAACGCGACCAGCAGTTTCCCAGCAGCCTTGCTGTGTTTGCCTCAGCTGTGTTTGCCACCATCTTGGGGCCTCTGATTGTCCATATTTGGTGTAAACACAGGTGTGCCGCCTCTTCTCCCCGCCTCCGGTACCACCGCCGCTCCTTTGGCCAATGCACCATCCTGTCCATCCGGATGCACTGGTTTGCTCTTTCTTTCATGCTGCACGGCAGGCGTGTGTTGCAGTAGAACAAGCAGCGAGCAAAGGCACACATTGCCAGCCGTGCCTTGAACACAACAGCCATTCTGACAATGTGCAGGGGGGTTCTGCCACCCAGAAAGAGCATGTTCACGAGTGCTGGCTGATTTTTCCAGTGTTTCGGGCCCTCGTGGCAGCTTTGGCGATGGGCGGGCGATGAGGACTGCTGTCGCGTCCAAATTTCGCCAATCAGCTGGCGATGGCACATTGAGGATTGGCGAAATGCGGGGGAGCCACCCTTGCGCCTGGCACAGCGCAGCGGCCACATGCGGCGCCGCTGTTGCTTTGTCGGCACTTGCCTCCCTTTTGGGGGACTGGGGGCGAAGCCCCCAGCAAGCTGGCGCTTGTTTAACACTATGGAGTGAAGTTCCTGAGGAAAATTGGCCATTTCTCCTCAAAATATTGGCGATGTCAGTCATGGGGGCTGGCGACGCGCTGGCGATGTCGCCCCGCCGCCTGCCCTCAATTAGCCAGCCCCTGGCTGGCGATGGCCTT